CTTTGGAAATAAAAACTTCATCTCCAATTTTAAAGAGGAAATAAAAGCCACCAGATGGTAACTCTGTAAGTACTCTTTCACCAAGTTCTAGAATTCATGCCTGCATCCTTCCTCTTTCTTGCCCATTAAATAAAGAGGTATTGCCTTCCAGCCTAAAGATAAGCTCTTCCTCTATACTCCTGCATGTCCTCTTATTTCCACAGATAACTTGCTTTCCTGTTTAACTGATTTCTCTCATCTCTTCAACTTGTGGCTCATCGGCATTTAAATATGCCTAAATGTCTTCTATCTTAAGAATAATAACCTCTCTCCAAACTAATAACCTTCCAGCTACTATACTGTGGTTTTCTACGCCTGTTTTAACTTCTTCACTCCATTCACTCATCGACCATCTGTATTTTAGCCTCAGCTTCTTCAGCTCCATTGAAACGATAATCATCAAAGTCACCAATGATCTTCTTGCTAAATCCAAAGTCATGTTTTCAAGAGTTACATGACCACATATTGAAAGTGCTGACCACTCCTTCCCCCTTCTTGAAACCATCTCTTCTCTTAGGAACAGCACATTCTCTGTTGCTCTTCCTAACTCTCTTAACACTCCTTGTTAGAGTTTCCTTTGAAGCTTTTCTCACTGTCCACCTTTGCAATATTGGTGTTCGTTAGGATTCTGTCCAGGTACCTCTTACTTTCTCACTCTTCCTGGTTATGCTTACTCATGTCGATTGCTTTAAGTATTATATATATAAGCTTTTAACCCTGATGTCTGTATCTCCCACACAAATCTCTTGAAGTCCTGATCGGTATTTACAGCTGCTTACTGAACGTCATCTTTCATTTGACTTTCCCATGAATACTTCACATCAGCCTGTCTGCAAATAAAATCACGATCTTGTTCTCAAACATGCTCCCTCTCCGTGTTCCTCATCTAGGTGAATGGCATTGACATGCGCTCAGTTGCTTAAGCTGGAAGCATGCAAGTTATTCTGACTGTTCCCATTTTCCCACCCTCAATAGCCACTTAACTTCAGAGGACTTTTAATTCAATTCACTTTGCAGAATTGGTCCGTTGTCTCTATTTCCACCGACACCACCACCTTCTCACTGGTCTGCCTCCTTCTAGCTGGACTTCCAAATCACTCCTCTCCTGCCATTTGCTCACACACAGACACGTTCACCTACAACCCACTCTCCACGGTGTGCCGAGTGATCTAAATGTAAATATGATCAAACAACCCTCTTCCTTAAAAAATTTGGCATCTCCTTATTGCCCTGAGAACTTCGAATTCTTTTAACTAGCTTTTTGGAGCATCTCAGTTTGGAGGGAAATAACTTTGAAACGGTTTTAACTTTCTGCACTCATGGCTGGTGGGCAACGTCGACTCTCCTTTCCCTGCTCAGGAGCAGGGTCCTTCATGGCATTTGGGGCAGATTCTTCAACACCCGGGTTATTTGTATCTATTACAAATCAATCGAGTTTAAAACCCAGACCTCCTAATGGAGATTCACCTCACTTTCTCCTCTGTTCCTCTGGTTGGTCAGCTGGGTGGAATTGGAGGAGGGAGCCTCTTTCTTGCTGTCTCAGCTTGGGTGGGACCAGAAGCAGCACTGCCTGCCTCTGGGCTGCTTCCTTGTCCTCTCTCTTTAGAATTCTAGCTCCCCAGCTGTGCCAAGGCAGGGTGAGGGCAGGCAGCATTTGTCCTCCCCTAAACCATGCCGGTGGCTGTCACAGTCCTCTCTCCGTTGGTTGTCACGGCTTCTCTGGCTAACACTAAGCTCGCCTTCATTTTCTGACTTCTGCTTTGTTTTCCTTTTGGATTTTCACTTTGAATAGAAAAGAGGCACTGTTCTCTTCCTTCACTTTTGATTTCCTTCTTCATTTACCACTTTATCCTGTGTCTTCCTTCTGCCTCTTGTCTCCCCCCATCTTTTATTTGGAGAGGAGTTGGCAGGAGTCAGTCCCAGGGATAAATCGTTGTGTACAGAATAGGCCTCTTCAAGGTGTGGACAGACACCTCTGGAAGGCTGCTTCCGCGTCAGCTAGGTCTGGAGGGCAGCCACACAGCAGCAGGGAAGATGTGATGCCGTGAAAACGTGCCACTCAGATCTCCTGCTACAGGGAGTGGGACTGACTGGTGGCTCCTGGGCAGCATGCTAGGACCCCGCTTCCCATGGGTTCCTCCCAGCTAACAGATGAGCATCGTTGAGGAACTAATACGGGACTGTTCCTGCAAAACACAAGACTCCTTAGTAGGCGGCTTTGCTCGAGAACTTCCAGCTGACTGAAGTTGTCATAGAACAGTGCTGCAATCTGAGACTCTGACTTTCTGTTCCCTCTCAATTTTCTCAAGACCTCCTTCCCTTCACAGGTTTAAGACTTGTATTATGGCCTAAAAGGCTCTCCCTGCCTTTTCTGGTGTCTTCCCCTTAATTCTTAATTGAAATCTTCTCCAATAAATCAAATCCCATCTTGACATCTGCTTCGCACAGGAACTGAACTAACACAAGTGAATCCTGGTGTGAGCCAAGAAAAAAGCAGTAAGATGGCACTTTTGGACTAGCTTGCTCACCGTCCAGTGACCAGTGAGGACGCCGTCCTGGGTGGTATGCAGTGCATGGCTAGTCTCTGGCACTAGGTGGCCTCTCAGATGCTAAAGACTTCACAAGTAGTGACCTGGAGAAACTCTTGGGTGGAGGGAACATCACTGTAGGTACAGTGATCCAAGATTTTGAAAGGTATGGGAGTGCCATGTCTGTAGGCAGAGGAGCTGGTTGGTCAGTGAATGCCAAACTGTATTGATGCCTTCACAAGGATGATGAAAAACTGAGGGCCTTCAACACGCATTTAAAGGCTGAGTGTGAGAGCCAGAGAGCATCCTTAGTGCCTTAGCTCCCGCAGTGGGGAAGCTGGCACAGCTGAGTAGCTGACCAGAGATCCGAATGTTAACGTCGGAGCTCCTAATACATTTAAATGGCCAGAAAGCTTGGAAAAGGTTGAGAAAACTTCAGATTCTGAAAAATGGGATGAGTATGAGGATGTTGTTGACTCCGTACACACACCCAGCTTACAGCAGCAGTAAGAGCTAACGCTCCGCCCATACTGGAAGATGCAACAGACTTCTCCCCAACCATGTGAGAGGCGCCCCCATTACAGCTGCTCCCACCTCCTCGCCTGGATTCCAGACTGATAACCAGCTGAAGATATTCTGGGCCTGAGAAGAGAAGGAAGGTATTATATATTGTGAGGAGCCACCAAAGCGAGCTGGCCTATACCAGTGTTGGATTTTGAGGGTCTTTGATCCAGGGTGATGGAATGTAAGAGTGGACAGGCAAGAATTCATTGACTTGGAGGAAACTTCTCAAGACACTGAATTTGACGCCTTGGCAAGGACCCTAGGGGATAGGGCTAACTCACCACTGTTAGAAACCTGGAGAAAGTGATGGCCCAGGTTGAGTAAAGTACAAATGCTCGAGTTCTGGAAGACAGCAGAGGAAGGAATAAAGAGGCTGAGGGATGTGGGCATGCCGGCGTGGATGTACTCTGCGAGGCCAGAAGATACGGCAGAGGATTCTGTTTCACGGGAAGGTGCAGAGGACACACCAGTCACCAAGGTCTTCATTAATGCACTGACGACAGGGACAGCTGTTCAGCGGTAGCTCTGCGCTGCCGGCCGGTGAGCGAGGCAGTCACAGGCTGGCAGAGCTGGGCGCGTCAGTCTCCATGGGGATGATGGAACCTTGAGGTGTTAGCGGTTAGGTGGCGGCCAGGAGACCATAATCACCATAATAACTGCAGGTACGGGGGGCAGCCGAGGCGGCCCGATCGTCAGGGCGTTTTGTAGATGGTTAATTGAGTGTATCGTTCCCAGGAGCAAAATGGACAGCAGCCAGAAAGGGTGCTGTAAAAATCTACAGCCAGAAAAAGGAAGAACGGAGCAGCAGGAGGCTGAGGACATTACTCCAACACAAAGTCAAAAGTCCTTGCTCCGTACGTTCCCAGACGTAAGCCAGATGTCAGATGCTGATGGACATAGCTCATCCTGGGACGGATGGTGCCGCCGCTAAATACCGAAAGGCGCCAGGGCCGTGGTTCCTGTCACATCTCCATGTGAGTCGCAGTCTGGCCTCCGGAGAAACAGGAGGGGCCCTGGAAATAGACTGCAGCGCGCCCCCAGCTCTGCTGAGCGGTGGACCTGGTCACATTGACAGCGGTCTGGGTCTGATCAGGACGAGGAGAAGGTGGCCTGCGCAGCGAAGACTCGTGCACTCCCGGTCCAGTGAGCCTCCTTCCTGCCCCCTGCCCCTCACAGGTGCCTCTGCCCACCTTCTCAGTGTCCCTCCCCTTTATCCTTACAGGCGCTTCCCCCCTAGTAAATCACTTGTGCAGCCCATCGTGTCTGGAGTCTGCTTTTAGGCGGGTCCAAACGAACACAGGAGCCTTTTGAGCCCATGAGGAAAAAAGAGCAAGAAAGACTAAGAAACTGCATCAGGGCTTTTGTTTTACTTGAGGCGTTTTTTTCCCTTGGATATTTTCCCCAAATCCCTTGTAAACAACGTCAAGTCACGAGTTGTTTGTCCCCAGGCTGTCCCTGAACTCTCAGACTAGGAATTCTATTTCCCAAAGCTACTCCCGTCCACAGCAGGGCCGTAAATTACCATCTAACTGTAGCAGGAACTGGAGTGCGAGCCCCAGCCCCGGCGGCCCAGGCCAGAAGGCACTCCTTTCATGCTCAGGGCTCCCTTTCCAAGCCAGCTTCACTGTGATCATCAGCGCCAAAGGAGCGCTGCGGATCCTAGCCTGTGTGGTCCCCCTTCCTCCCTTGACTTGCGCTCTCAGTACTGTGGTAGGTGGCCCCTGAGCGAGCCGAGGGCCTGTTCCCACACGTGGCCCACCCTCGGCGAGTCATCATGTGGTTCTGAGAAGGTTTCAAGATCCACCCTGTCCGGGGCTTTTGTGACCTGACAGGAGGAGCCCCCTTGGGGCTTGGTGGAACTGTCTAAAGGTCAGCAACACCCCCTGCCCCATGATCATCACCTAACCTTTGAGCTGAAATTAACAATCACGTCCACCGGGCACACCCTACTTGTAAGCAAGGAATCCCCTGGCCAGTACTGACCACCCACCTCACAGTATTCCCTGAGGCTCCGAGAGCATGGATTTATGCAAATATCCCTCAGCATCCTTCCTCACCCACCAGTGGCTCTGTATCAGGTTAATGTGCCGTGTGAGGTGCGCGTCATTTCTGCATGCCTTTTTCAAAACAGGTATCACCGCTGATCAACTATACTTCAATTAGGAAGAAAAAAAAGTGTGTCACCAAATGCTCATTTCTTGAGATGTTCATGATTGTTCTGCAAAAGGGTTCTGTGGTGGTAAATTGATTAACCCAAGAGGCCATTAGCCTGAGGCGGCGTCCACGTCGTGGTGACCTATTTATGCAAACCAAACCTGTGAAGGACTCAAGGTGACCACAAACAGCCAGCTGTGCTTCAAGCCACAGCCCATCAATTATTTCCTCTTTTTTTGTTCCCTTTCTCCTTCCTCACTTTCTCTGTATCAGCCTTTCTTTTAGCTCCTGTTGGAGTCCTCCGAACCACTTCAGCTTGGTGCTGCCTGATACGAAATGATTTCACTCAAATAAACTCTTAAAATGTTCACTGTGCCCCAGTTTCATCTGTTAACCATGGTGAAAGAAATTTTGAAAATGCTAGACTAAAAAAATTATGTGAAGGAATACCAAAAAAAAAATTAAATGTTTTGACTTCAGAACTTCTCAGAGGTTTTCAAATCATCAAGCATCATGAATCTTCCAGAGGGAGTCAAGGAGATAATATTTGCCAAAATTATTTATCATAAAACCCAGGGAGCCTCTACTCACAGAGTAGAGAACACAGCCTGAATCAAATGGAAATTCTGATCTCTGCAGGGTAACTTTCCACAAGCAATGCCTTGGGGACTGACACGTGCAAAATTCAAGGTGGAAATTTCGAGCTCCCAGTTTATCTTTCAGAAGTGTGTACATTTATCAAAATTCATCAAATTATACATCTGAAATATGTGTAGTTTACTGTACAGAAATTATACCACAATAAAGTTGTTTAAAAAAATGAAGGCCAGGAAATAAAATGTATTGAAGTGGGGAAAAAAAAATCATGGAGTGATGAAAAGAATTCAGGGTGCCGCCCCCTGGCTGATACAAGTCACACCTTGAGGTTCCAGTCTCAGCTGCAATGAGGCTGGTGCCTGGCACCCCTCTCCGTGGAGCTCCCGGCAGCCCAGGCCATCCAGACTGGAAACAATTTGATTGTAAAGTCCTGGAGTCGTCTCTGGCAAAGTAAGGGTTTAGCTGTAGTCCTTGCCTTCAACTTTACACATTGTCTGATCTAGGCTGGGAGGGACACCATTAATTATTTCAGTTCCTTCTCCCCAAGATTCAACTGGGTTCCCTCGGACGACAAACTGACGGTGGCTGAGAAAAGCAGGTCAGAGTTTGAATTCATTTGGCAATGAAGGCTACTGGATTATGTCCCTGGATATCTCCTCTGGCAACCCGGAAACTCCCAAGCTTTTGCTAAATCAAAGGCACCTGTGATAGCCGGGCGTCCACACTGCTTGTCAGCGTGAAGGCCACCTAAGTTGTGATCTGTATTCCAGCTTGGTGCACATCACCATCCGATGTTCAGCAAACCTCCAGGATGCACAGACATTCAGAGGCTTCCTCGATTGCTTCAGAGTGAACACTTTTGCCAGTTCCTCTCTGGAGTTAGGTAATCATTGCCACGTAGGTGAGCCCGACGGGCCCAAGTGGAGAACACGGCCTAAATCAAATGGAGAAGATTTAAGTGCTCGGCTGATACAGCGAATCCTAGGGATCCAGGATTCAGGAGGGGGGCCCTTGTGGGAACATTTGTTGTTGGCTTTCTGACAGTCTCGAGGCTCGGGCTGACAGTTGGCCGTAATTCAATTTTTAAATACCCCATGGCTAGCGCGGGGACACGGCCTCTGGGGACTGTCCGGGAACGGAAAGGGACGTGCTGCCGCACAGTGGAATGTTGCAGTCGTTACATGCAATTTCTTTTTAAAATCTCCATGAATTTTCTTCATTTAACAGGGAGCAGTTACTTCAATGTTTATTTATATTTATCAATTTATTACTCACTTCCTTCCATTAAGGATCTGAGAGCCTGGATTTGTTCCAAGAATATGAGTTTTTTTCCCAGATACACAGACTTGTTCTCCATCCCTGCGTTGCTTATTCTGCATCAGGGCCCCAAAGTGACACACTGACGTCCCTGTAGCAGAGGACATCAGAGCTTTCCTTTTTGCTGTTTTTTAACTGGAGAAGTATCAGGTGTTAATAATATTAATTCATCCATCAGGACCACAAAATGGAGGTCGTCCCAGTGACCCAGCCCAGATCACAAATCTAAAGCTAAATCACCCTGCACTTGTGGGAAACACGTGTCAAGGAAGCTTAAAAAAGAGCAATTGCAGTTTCCATGTGTTGGCTATTGCAAATAGTGCTGCTATGAACATTGGGGTGCAGGTGTCTTTCTGATAAAGAAGATGTGGTATATTTATACAATGGAATAGTATTCAGCCATAAAAATGACAACATAACGCCATTTGCAGCAACATGGATATCCCTGGAGAATGTCATTCTAAGTCAAGTAAGCCAGAAAGAGAAAGAAAAATACCGTGTGAGATCGCTCATATGCAGAATCTTAAAAAAAAAACATAAATACAAAACAGAAACACTCATAGACACAGAATACAAACTTGTGGTTGCCAAGGGGGTGGGGTGTGGGAAGGGACAGACTGGGAGTTCAAAATTTGTAGATACTGACAGCTATACATAGAATAGATAAACAAGTTTATACTGTACAGCACAGGGAAATATATACAAGATCTTGTGGTAGCTCACAGTGAAAAAAAATGTGACAATGAATACATGTATGTTCATGTATAACTGAAAAATTGTGCTCTACACTGGAATTTGACACAACGTTGTAAAATGATTATAACTCAATAAAAAAATGTTAAAAAAAAACACAACAAAACAAAACAGCAATTGCAGTCGTCCAATTACCTTCCCCAGGAGACAGCACCTGCTCACCCTGCCCTTGACCTTCCGGCCAGCTACGCCCGGCTTCCATGTCGTTGCTTCTGACTGTCTATCAGACTTACCTTTGCCCCAAATCCCTCGGGCACTTGCTCCACTGCTTGTGAGCACTGCACTCCCCCAAGCCGTGGATTGTTTCCCTGGAATCAAGGACAAGAGACTGTGACTAAACTGTTTTAGTTTTGTCAGTGGACAGTTTCTAG